TATATATATGGGGGAAATACGAGCACAAACAGCAGAACTTAGATGAACTCTAATTTAAGTCCATAAACAGAAGATATTTATCCATCAGTTTGTGAAAAAGGAAAGAGTAAAAAAAAGTTTACTTTTCTTTGACTTTACATTTAGTATCCAGTTGCATTATCCCCCCCATGACAGAAAAAGTTTCCTGACATAAACTCAAATTCAATTTGCTGAAGATAAATAAGGTCAAGCGAGAGCACTGTGTTGGGACCTTCTCACAAAGTTTGTCTAAAAACAACTTACCAACTACTTGTTCATCACAAATGTAGCTGCTTCTTTAGAGGTCAAAAGCAAAAATGAAAAAAAAAAAACTTTATTCTGTTCTTTTTTGTACTTGTTTCAGCAATAAATCAAACACAGTCTCTTTTTAAATAAAATTACAGACATGGCTGATATTTTAAAAGATTCTTGTTTAGGGAATCTTAACTTTAACGGAGCAAAGATCTGTGGTTACAGTCATTCAAAATTCAAATGTCAGATTTTCAACAAGTACACAAGCTGCTTATAAGTAACTTTAAAGTGTTTTAAACTTCATGCTGAGTCTTACAGATGCATTTCTTTATCAAGCTTATGGAGACAAACAGAAAAAAAACATTGTTTTTCCTTTTCCTGTATCTGGTTTTTGAAGACAAAAAAGTAAAGCTTAAAGCATAACTAAACATAAGTTTCAGTTTGCAAACTAAGTCTAAACCTTTATTTCAGGTATTTTAGTCATAGTGTCACTTCCTAATGTTAGTAATGGTGATCTATTTAGTTTTTGTCAGTAAACCAAATCTTATAACCTAGTTTTATTTTTACAGAGGAAAAATGATGTCATTCAGGACAAAAAAATATCTAAATTTTGTCTTAAACCTGTTTCACACGTGGACAAAATTGTTGGTACCCCTTGCGTAATGAAAGAAAAACCCACAATGGTCACAGAAATAACTTGAGTCTGACAAAAGTAATAAGTAAAAATTATATGGCACCCTTAATTATTTATATAATGTGAAGCTTTATGAATTGTTTGTTTTTATCTTTATGTTTATTTAGTATTGTTTTTTAAATTATCTTTTCTTTGAATATGTATATATTGGGGATAAAAGGTGCAGACATTATAAGAGTTATTCTTCTGCTACCTTTCATTTTATTTTGATTTGTATATTTTCTTAGTTTCTATTGTATATAGTTGTTGTGTGGTATAATTCACCAAACACAGTATCTGTAGCCTTACTGACTGATTACAAGATTGTACACACCTGTGATATTAATTAGTGGACACACCTTGATTTGATCCCTTTGGTCACATTTTTTGCAGGGGGACCATCATTTCTGTCCAGGCCTGTTTTATGAATTTTATTTATTTATTATTCTATTGAAGCATGGATGAAAAGCAACGTCTTTGTTCATTTTTATATAATTTTTATTTATTATTACTTTTGTCAGATTCAAGTTATATGTGACCACTGTGGGTTTTTCTTTCATTAAATAAGGGGCATCAGAAATTTTGTCCACGTGTGAATGTACTAGCCATTTTGAATTTTTAAGCTAAATAAAAAAGAAAGACTGTACAGAAGCAGATCTGTGGAATCAACAGCAACAAGTGTTTTCATAAACGTGCTCAATTTTTTTATTATCAAGTTTTAAGTTATTCTGTGAATTTAAATTTGCTTTTAATTATTATTATTATTTATTTTGTTAATTAAGCTGACCAGAAATGTCAAACCTTTAACTGTAAGCTGCTGAACACAAATATTAAGTTCAGTACGTCTCTCAGTAAAAAACGACTGATGAGTTTAACGTCGTCTGGAGTGGCTGCGATCCCTGCTGCTGCTGTGTCTCCTGTATCTTCGGCTCTGATGGCTGTGACTCCTGCGCTCCCTGCTTTTACTGCTGCTCCTGGATCTCCTCCTGCTGTGTCTGCGGCGACTACGCCTGCGGCTCTTCCCCCTGTGACTCCTCCCCCTGCTGTAGCTCCGCCCACTGCCACTCCAGCTCCTGTCTCTGCTGGAGCTGGAGCTGCTGCTGCTGCAGTAAGCGCGCCTCCTGCCTCTGCGTTGACYGTCGCTCCTCCTGCGACAGCTGTAACTTCTCCTGCGACGACTCGAGCTCCTTCTCCTGCTGTAACTCTGAGAGCGCCTCCCCCGGCTGTGGGAACTCCTCTCTCTGCGAGAGTGCTCCCTCGCTCGCTCCCTGCTCTGACCCTTCTTTTCCGTCCTGCCATCCTCTCTTCTTCTCTCCTTTGATTTCTTTTTCCCCAAACGTTCAGAGTTCACACGAGATCTAGATTCCTTCTTTTCTCTGCCGTTCCCCTCCTTTACACCGTTCACCCGAGCCAGGACCCCCAGCTTTACATCACTGAGACCAGACCCCTCCTCCCCGGTTAGAGGGCCCACTTGGTCCTGCGTGTCTTTGGCTCCTAAAGTCGTCTTGCTGCTCTTATTGATCAGGTTGTACAGGAGTCTGTCCCTCAACTCCTTCTCTCTTCGCTGAAGCTCCAGCGCTCGCTGCTTCTCCACCTCCACCCTGCGCAGCTCCTCCTCCTGCTTACGCCGGCAGGCCTCCAGCTGCTGAAGACGGGCCAGTTCCTCTTTTTGTCGAATCTGCTCCTGCCTTTCCCGCTCCCTGTGTTCAGCTCTCTCTTTCTCCAGCTGCTGCTGCTTCAGCGTCTGTGGAAGAAACAGTTGGGTAACTACAGAACTAGGGGNAAATAATTTTTGGACAAAAAAATCGCAATATATCGCCTTGAATACAGTATCGTAATATATCAGGATATATCGTATCGTGACCCCTCTGTCAAGATATGTATCGTATCGCCAAATTCTTGCCAATACACAGCCCTATGCAGAACACTGAGCTGATAACTCGGGGCTGTTTTACCGAACGACTTCCATACCTTTGCTCTGGCGAGCAGCTCAGCGATGAGTCGTATGGATTCCAGATTGCGCTGAGCCAGCAGCAGCCTCCTCTCCTCCATGGCGATCTTCACCTGCAGCTTCTTCTGCTCCTGCTCCTGCTGTCTCCTCACTTTCTTTAGATTCTTCCTCTCCTCCTTCTCCCGCAGCTTCTGCTCTCGTTTGCGCAGTCTCTCCTCCTTCTTTCTTTCCTTCTCCTCCTCCTCCTGTTCCTTCTGTCTCCTGACCAGAAAAACAATCAGTTTCAGAACATTATATTATTCTATTTCTCATACTAAGAAATGTAGAAGTTTATCACAAATGTCAATTAAATCTTAAAGTGAATAAAAACTTACATCATATAAGGATATAAAAAAGACTTAAACCTTCTGACACTTCTAGGTTTTGGATAATTAATGAAAGTTAACAGCTTACAATTCAGTATCTGTATGTATATAAAT